TACAAATTATGAACAACAAATATGCATCTATCAACAAGTGAATCTAAGAATCAAGTGAATAAATAATCTGATGAACAGAATGAACTGGTGATTATAATAGAATCAGGGACATAGAAAGGGAATGGACTGACTATTCCTGGGGGGGAAAGGGGTGTGGGAGATGCGGGAAGAGACTGGACAAAAATCGTGCACCTATGGATGAGGACAGTGGGTGGGGAGTGAGGGCAGAGGGTGGGGCGGGAACTGGGAGGAGGGGAGTTATGGGGGGGAAAAAAAGAGGAACAAATGTAATAATCTGAACAATAAAGATTTAATTAAAAAAAAAAAAAAAAAAAGATTACCGTACTTAAACTTCAAATTTTTTGTCATGATTCCCTGAGAGATATTACCAAAAGAGACATTCAATCTATCAGAAAAGAGTAACTGCTTACTGCTTGCACTACAGTAACAATAAAATGTCTTTAAGCTTTCTGTAAATGGCTGAAATGTTCAACTGTAAAGACAACGTAAGAGGTCATTAGCTTTAGAAATAAACAATGCTAGTGTCATGCACATTGTGGACATAAAGCTATAAATTTGCTTCTTCAACAAAGTGACAAAAAAAATAAATAAATAAATAAATAAATAAATAAATAAATAAATAAACAAAAAAAAAAACAAAGTGACTACCTCTAAAAGGATGCCATAATTTTCAATATCAACACTAATCCTATCTAATAAAAGAGAAACATGATAATTGGCGTACGACCGCTACCCTTCCCATTGGCTAATCAGCGAGATATGCAAATTAACTGCCAGCCAAGATGGCGGCCGGCAGCCAGGCAGCTTGAAACTAACATGAGGCTTGCTTGCTTCAGTGACGGAGGACTCCAACGTTCCCCACCTGCTGCTGCAGGCCTCTGAGCTGCAACTCTAAGCAACTATGTAACAAATATAGAAGCTAAACAAAACTCCAGAAACCTGCTTTCAGCGAGCCGGGATCTCAGAGCTGGAGTTGATACAGAGTTTCGATTATAGAACCGAAAAAAACGAGATACCTGCTTTCAGGAGCGGAGGCCTAAGAGCTGGAGCCTCAGAGCTAAAGCTGGCCCAGAATTAAAAAAAAAGAAAAAAAGGAGCAGTTGGGAGCTTCCGTCACCCACCAGCCTGAAAACAGCCCTCAGCCCCTCACCCAGACTGGCCAGGCACCCCAGTGGGGACCCCCACCCTGAAGGGTGTGTGACCAGCTGCAAACAGCCATCAGCCCCTCACCCAGGCTGGCCAGGCACCCCAGTAGGGACCCCCACCCTGATCCAGGACACCCTTCAGGGCAAATCAGCCAGCCCCACCCATGCACCAGGCCTCTATCCTATATAGTAAAAGGGTAATATGCCTCCCAGCACCGGGATCAGCGGAGCCGCGAGGCCTCCCAGCACCGGGATCAGCGTGACAGGGGGGAGCTCCCCAACCCCCTGATCACCCTGCGGCTCTGTGTGTGACAGGGGGTGGGGCCACAACCTCCCTATCGGCCCTGCTCTGTTCGTGACAGGGGAAGGCGCCCCAACCTCTTGATCAGCCCTGCTCTGTGCCTGATACGGGGGAGCTCCCCAACTCCCTGATCGCCCTGCGGCTCTGTGTGTGACAGGGTGCGGCGCCCCAACCCGCCCCGCCCCCCCCACGGGCCCTGCTGTGTGTGTGTCAGGGTAGACCCATAACCTCCCCATCGGCCCTGCCTTGAGTGTGACAGTGGCAGTGCCCCAACCCCCTGATTGGCCCTGCTCTGTGGGTGATAGAGGGCGGCACCCCCCCTCCCCCGGGCCCTACTCTGTGTTTGATGGGGTAGAGCCATAACCTCCCCATCGGCCCTGCCCTGAGTGTGACAGTGGCAGCGCCCCAACCCCCTGATCGGCCCTGCTCTGTGAGTGATAGAGGGCGGCGCCCCAACCCCCTGATCCGCCCTGCTCTGTGCGTGACAGGGTACGGAGCCCCAACCCCCCTGATGGGCCCTGCTCTGTGCGTGACAGGGGGCAGCACCCCAACCCCCTGATCGGCCCTGCTCTGTGCGTGACAGGGGGTGGTGCCACAACCTCCCTATCAACCCTGACTTGAATGTGACAGGGGGCGGTGCCCCAACCCCCCAAACAGCCCTACCCTGAGCGTGACTGAGGGTGGCATTGCAACCTCCCAATCCGCCCTGCTCTGTGCATAACAGGGGGCGGTGCCCCAACTCCCTAATTGGCCCTGCTCTGAGCCCGACTAGGGATTGGGCCTGCCCTCTGCCACCCGGGAGCAGGCCTAAGCCAGCAGGGCGTTATCTCCCGAGGGGTCCCAGACTGCAAGAGGGCACAGGCCGGGCTGAGGGACCCCCCCTTCTCCTCCGAGTGCACAAATTTTTGTGCACCGGGCCTCTAGTAGAAATTTATAAAATGAAATAGATAAGATGGATTACCATACCCAAACTGTGTTTCACTCATTTAGAACAAAGTTTTCAGACAATTTAAATGCACAGCTTTTAAATTATATATTTAGAAGTGTGTGTGTGTGTGTGTGTTCAGAGGCTCCAGAGTCCAGGTCCAAGAAGGAATTAATACTTTCTTAGCAAAAGGAACGGGTTATGAAAATCTTTTGTGATCTACTTTAGAAGTAGTTGTGTCAGCAAAAAGCTGGATTTAATTAGCAGACTAGTGATAACAGTCATGATCTAAAAGTTATCTAACCTCAGTCATAAAGGGCTTGATTTTTCCTCTCTTATTAACTAGGGCTTTCAAGATTATTGTATTAGGCTCTGGCCAGTTTGGCTCAGTGGTTGAGCATCAACCCATAAACCAGGAGGTCAGGGTTTGATTCCAGGTCAAGACACATGCCCAGATTGCAGGCTCAATCCCCATTAGGGGGTGTGCAGGAGGCAGCTGATTGATGATTCTCTCTCATCACTGATGTTTCTATCTCTCCCTCCCACTTCCTCTCTCTGAAATGAAAAAAAAACAAAATATATTTTTTGTAAAAGATTATTGTATTTGCAGGTTCCTCCTTCAAGATTCTAGGGTGACATCACATGCCATCATCCTAAACAGACAGACTGACTCTGAGCAGAATGGCATAAGTTAGAAGTCCCAGACAGAGAGGGGGATAAAGCTTTCTTTTCACAAAGATAACACAGCATTTCTAAGTGCTCTTGCCAAAACTGGAGCACTTGATAGTGGACTTTCTTAGTAGGCAGTAATCCAACTACATTTCAAACAAAGAAACCACTTTCAATAAAAACCAACATAGAGCTTGGCCAGTGTTGCTAGGTGGTTAGCATCGCCCCATGCACCAAGAAGTCCCCCATTCAATTCCTGGTCAGGGCACATGCCCGGGTTACAGGCTCAATCCCCATTAGGGGCATACAGGAGGCAGTCGATTGATGTTTCTCTCTATCAATGTTTCTATTCCACTCCCTCTCCCTTCCTCTCTCTAAAATCAATAAAAATATATTTTTAAAAAACCTAACATAGTTAAACTTTAAAATAAGTAAAGAGCCGGAACCGGTTTGGCTCAGTGGGTAGAGCGTCAGCCTGCGGACTGAAAGGTCCCGGGTTCGATTCCGGTCAAGGGCATGTACCTGGGTTGCGGGCACATCCCCAGTAGGAGATGTGCAGGAGGCAGCTGATCGATGTTTCTAACTCTCTATCTCTCTCCCTTCCTCTCTGTAAAAAATCAATAAAATATATTTAAAAAAATAATAAAATAAGTAAAGAAAGTCCTTAATGATATGCTGCTAAATGTTTTAAAATATTTACTTAACAGTTTTCTTATTTTGATTTCTTTCAAGTTTTTCCCCCACAAAAACTGAAACTTAGTTTATATTAGCCTTTCTGACCTTGACAGGTTAAATAAAACCTCAGAGAAAACTAGATATAATTTATGATAATATTTGTATAATACTTGCTGCTCAAAAGTTTAAAGATTAATAGGAAGTAACTCAATCTCACATGAATAAGGTACTGATAAAAATAATGGACCCCACATTTAAGAAAAGCCAAAAATAATAATAATAATAATACAAGCTAAAACAAATTGCTTAGAAAACAGTGGTTCATAGCACAAAATAATTCTTCACAGTACATACTGTTCAACCCAAGAGTTCTCTTAGACCAGCCGTGGGCAAACTACGGCCCGCGGGCCAGATCCGGCCTATTTGAAATGAATAAAACTATTGAAAAAAAAAGACCATACCCTTTTATGTAATGATGTTTACTTTGAATTTATATTAGTTCACACAAACACTCCATCCATGCTTTTGTTCCGGCCCTCCGGTCCAGTTTAAGAACCCATTGTGGCCCTTGAGTCAAAAAGTTTGCCCACCCCTGTCTTAGACCATGGGGTACCTTAGTTTCTCTAAAATTATTTATATATCAAATTTATGCTGTGCATTTTTTAATGAACAGCTCTTGTATCTAAAGCAAGGTACACATGTCTTTTCATCTCTACAATTAACAAAACCAAAGTACATAACTTAACCAGGTTAAGTGTCTTGTCTGAGATTAAAATATAAGTCAGTGACAGAACTATGCACAAAAATTCAATTTCTTGATTCCCTATGCAATAATATCCTGTGAGTGGCAATGTAAAACTAACTAGTAAAAGCCTCTGAGAAAAATCTGCTCAATGACAGGCAGATTTAAGGACAGCCCAACTTTGAGAATCCATAAACCAAAACATAAAGTCCTCTAAGCTCTGAATGTACAATTAAGTGCTATTCCTGATGCTTTGCTGCCATCTCTGATGAGGCTAGTCAGCAAACAAGACAAACAAGCCATGTTAATTTCAAAACTCAAATATCTTTGGGAAAAGGTTGAGAATCAGAGCCAAAGTCCATGAAAAAAAACAAACATCAGTATGTATTTGTGTATGGTGATATACACACACATCAATCACACATAAACCTCCTGGGAGAGGGATGGAAAAGTCAGACAAATTAATAGGCACAAAGATAGCTAGGGATCAGAAAGTCAGTAAAGTCACAGTGGGATGCTTACCAGGACACACAGTAATTTCCTCTGCAGAACTCTCTGGCATAAGGACTAAGCTTCTCTTACTGGTCAAAGCAGCAATGCTGAAAAAGAACCAAACCCCAAGTGAATTCCCAATAAAATAAATCAGAACACAGCACCTAAAGCAATCGTGAGTCACTCACAAAGCCACCAGTAACCTGATACCTGCTGTCCAATGCCAAAAAAGCACAACAGGGAAGCAAGGAATCAGTAGTGAAAACTCCAGGCCATTAATAGGGGAAATAAACATGCTTACAACTTTGTTTCCAGTGAAATCTCTATATGAAAAGAACACCCTTTTGGAGTCTTCACAAAGAAAGGTTGAAGGGTAAGGACTATCTATGAAGATCACAGAAGACAAAAACTACATTCCAATAAAAGGATGTCAAAGGTGTTTTCCAGGGTCTCCATCTCAGCCTTCTGAAGGCTAGAGATTTGTAAGCTCATAAGAGAAAATATGAAGATTCTCCTGACAACACACTTGCAATTAAATTTCCACTCTATCTCAAGATGCGGCTTTGTAGGCAACAAAAATAAGATACAATTCCAAACTGCCACAGAAGTTGAAAATCTCTTCTGAGAAAAACATAATTATGAATGGCTCCCCTCATCTGACCTTCTGGTTTACCCTGCCTGTTCATGGAGTGCAATCTCTTCCTGCACAGGAACACATGGCTAAGAGATCTGAGCTAGCCCCCTCATGCTCCATAGAGCTTTACCATTAGTTTGATCAAGTATACAAGAGGACACAAATCCTCACATCAACCACAGAGAAGAGAAAATAACCACCACTGATTTGTGATAAATAACTAAATCCTGATAGAAAACCACAAGTGATTTCTTTCTCTAAATAAAGCATTTCATACCATTTGTTATAAACCCAAACCAGATACAGTTTACTCTGCATGTAACATTAGGACTCTATTCAAAGGGTCCATCACAAAACAATTTGCTGACATTTATAAAATGGACTAATCAATTTGAAGTCAAACCACATTGCCTGCAGTTCCAACTCTCTCCTGGTGACAAAGCGTATAATCATTTATTAAAACCTACATCTGCTCTGCACAAGGCTCACTACAACAAAACAGAGAGGCCTGTAGGAAGCAGAACTTCAGTTAAAACCACTTCCAAAGCTGTCTTAGCAGGAGAATCAAACCAAAGCCATATTCTTCAGCTCAAGAAGAAATACCTAGTACTATTAACCAAAAACCTAAGGACACCAACTAAATTACAGCAAATGGCCTTAATTAATTGGGCCTCAACTTCCACATAGGAGATGGAGTAACCCCCAAAGGCCAACAACCAGATAAAGGGAAAAGTAATTGGAAGCCTGATCCAGTTTATAACCAATCCATTACTATATATTAAAGTGAGAAGACCTAAGAAAGTAACCCTATCAATCAACCAGTGAGAATAATTAAGGAGGTAATACAAATACTACCATTTAAGAGAAAGATGATGTATAATCGATGAAAAGTGGCATAGGATAGGGAGTGAGAGAGATACAGGTTCTGTGTGGGTTCAAAAAGGAAGTAAGTTATAAGAGTAGACTTTAAAGATATATACAGCCCAGTCAATGTGGCTCAGTGGTTGAGGGTCGACTTTTGAACCAGGAGGCCACGGTTCTATTCCTGATCAGGGCACATGTCTGGTTTGCGGGCTTGATCCCCAATAGGGGGCATGCAGGAGGCAGCCTATCAATGAACCTCTCTCATCATTGATGTTTCTCTCTCTACCTCTTCCTTCCTCTCAGAAATCAATAAAAAAATATATATTTTTTAAAGATGTATATGGTTTAGATATGCAGATAAAGTAAACATACTAGCAAGCAGAGGAAACAATGGGGAAAGGAGGACTAGAAGGAACATAAAGAAATCAGTTCAGAGCAGCGGTTCTCAACCTGTGGGTCGCGACCCCTTTAGCGGTCGAACGACCCTTTCACAGGGGTCGCCTAAGACCATCCTGCATATCAGATATTTACATTATGACTCATAACAGTAGCAACATTACAGTTATGAAGTAGCCACGAAAATAATTTTATGGTTGGGTCACAACATGAGGAACTATATTTAAAGGGCCAGAAGGTTGAGAACCACTGGTTTAGAGCCTTCACATTGGCTTAGGAAGTTAGTGTAGCTAGTTAAGAGAGTAGCAGGATGTAATCATTTTTCAGAAACAGTGTAAATGGGATTTGTACTAGATGGCTGGATTGGACAAGAAAACCAACAACAAAACACCACCAAGATTTCTTCCAACCAAATATTCTAGGCTTCTATGAGATGCATATAGGCAACAATGATTTCTCCTAGTCTATGCTTATAAAAGAGCCAAAAGATCTCTGGTAAGCTGTCCCCCAAGTCTTACTCATGTGGTTCAGCTCTCTTATTCTGGGATCAATAGAGGAGAATTCAAACCCATAACATATAATCTTACCTTTGTGACGCAGGTTCAGAGTTTCCTTCTTCAGAAGTTTCCTCAGCAAATAGACCTTGGGAAGACTGCAAAGAAATACATAACATCCTAAATATACAGGCACAGATGAACTAGTTTCTCTTCCTATAAAAAAACAACAACTCATTGTTCAACATTATCACTCAGCAGTTAACAATAACATATTACATTATCAGTAAGTTTCAGTAAAAAGAACATTATCTTGTGGAGACAAAAGACTGAGATTTAAATTATGGGTGAATCACCTGTTAACTTTGTAATCTTGAGTAAGTCACATCTGACTTTGTTTCTTCATCTTTTATATATATACTAGTGTCCTGGTGCACAGATTCATGCATATTGAAAGGAAATCAATTAGAAGAAATATTTTAATATTGCTATTTGCCCTTTCTGTATAATAGAAGAGTCAACCAAATTCACAATCAACACTGACAGATTGAAACACACAGATGAGATTGGCACGAGAGCTTTATAGGTACCGTGCATGCGTGAGTCAACTTAGCCACATATATATAGAATAAACGTGCTTAATTAGACCTGCTTTCTGGTTTAGCTAAACTTTTTCCCGCCCAGTGAAGCACCCCAACTTCTCTTTCAAGTAATTGTCAGCAACACAGCAGTAAATACCAATACGAAGCAGATTATTATCGTAGATCACGCAGGGAGAACAAAGGGTAAAATATTTAACTGTAGCAGCGTTTGACTATATTCTGCGCAGTGAGAAAACCTGAAGTAATTTTCGAGTTCCACCATTTCTTACTCTTCAGTCGGATCAAGTTTCTAAACTTTCTAAATCTCTGTTTTCTGACAAATTAAAAGAAAATAAGATTCTACCAAGTCTCCTACCTACTCCAAGACTTCTGTGAGGATCAAATGAGATGAGGCACAGGAAAATCCTTCACAAACATTTGGTTAAAGTGTAAAATGTTTCCACCTGGCTATAAAGCAAGTCATGTTCCTGAGCTGAAGAAACTCCAGAGATGCTAGTCGCTAGGAGAGGAAGCCAGGCGTTGCTACATGACATCATTACCCAGAGCCTACAGCCTCTGTTTCTGGGCTGGGCTGGGCTGGGCTGTGAACCACATTTTGCACCATGGCGTCTCAGCAGCATCAGCTGCGATTTGGTGGAGTGTCTCTCCTGGGTAGTGGTGGGGCCTGTGTCCCACTTGGGGGAAGCTGAGTGTTGGTTTGTCAGCACTAGATCTGCGGTGCCGTTTCTTTTTAAATGGCCAGTGCACGTCATGGCAGCTCCTGCATTGAGCGTCTGCCTCCTGGTGGTCAGTGCACGTCATAGCTACCAGTCGGATGGTCGGAGGGATACTGAGCCTTTTATATATAGAGATATTTTTTAATTGATTTCAGAGAGGAAGGGAGAAGAGGTAGAAACATCAATGATGAGAGAACTATTGATCAGCTGCCTCCTGCATGCCCCCTTCTGTGGACTGAGACTGCAACTCGGGCAAGTACCCTGACCGGAAATCGAATCGAACTATGACCTCCTGATTCATAGGTTGATGCTCAATCACTGAGCAACAACAGCCTGGCTGTTTCCTCATCTTAAAATGAGTATTAACAATTTTTTAGCTAGCCCTAGCCGGTTTTGGCTCAGTGGATAGAGCCTGCGGACTAGGGAATCCCAGGTTCAATTCCGGCCAAGGGCACATGCCCGGGTTGCAGCTCGATCCCCACTAGAGGGCGTATAGGAGACAGCTGATCAATTATTCTCTCTCATCATTGATGTTTCTATCTCTCCCTCTCCCTTCCTCTCTAAAACCAATAAAGATATATTTTTTTTTAAATTGCCTAGTCATAGCTGGTTTGGCTCAGTGGACAGAGCATTGGCCTGCAGACTGAAGGGTCCCAGGCTCAATTCCAGTCAAGGGCACATGCCTGGGTTGCAGGTTTGATCCCCAGTAGGGAGCGTGCAAGAGGCAGCCGATCAATAATTCTCTCTCATCATTGATGTTTCTATCTGTCTTTCCCTCTCCCTTCCTCTCTGAAATCAATAACAATATATTTAAAAAAACAACAACTGCCTCACAGAGTGCTATGAGAATTAAACAAGGGGAGAAATCAAGATGGCGGCATAGGTAAACACCGGAAATTGCTGCCTCGCACAACTACTTCGAAAATACAACTAAAAGACAAAACGGACATCGTCCAGAACCACAAGAAGGCTGCCTGAGTGGAAATTCTACAACTAGAAGAAAAGAGAAAAGCACACTGAGACTCAGAGGAGGTGCAGAAGTAAAGTGCAAAGGTATGGAGGCGCACGTGGAAAGGGCTGGCAACTGAGGACGCGGTTGTTTTTTTCAATTAGGAGGGAGACACAAGCTCCTGACTGCTCTAAACTCCAGTTCCGGGCGAGTCTCTGGGGACCCAGACTCATACAGAAAGAAACTGGACTGTCTGGCAGTGGGCGGAACTCGAGGGCGGCTTTCTCTCAGTGGTGCTTGCAGCGATTACCGGGACACTGAGACGCAGGGCCTCTTAGGGCTGGGCTGAGGATCAACCATAGCTGTTTGTTCTGCCCTGTTGATTCCCTGAGACCCCGCCCCACCCAAGCTGTGCACAGAGGCTTCTGCATATGAATGCCCTGGCTCTTTGCAATCTGAAATTACCTAACAAACTGCAGCTGGGTCAGAGAGACCCAGAACAACCAAAAGAAGGCCCAAGGTCTCACAGAAGCTTGCACTGCTTCACAGCTGGGCCTCATCTAGGCACCTCCAAATCCCAAACAAAGAAGAGGAATCTGCAGATCTCTCCGTAGCTCCTGCTGGGTAGCCTCAGGCAGAGGCTAAATTAGCACTTCCTTAGAGATCCAAGAGCCAGTGTACCCAGTGGTCAGAGTGGAACCATCCAGATTACAACGCCTCAGATCCATAAGGGACACACTCAGGGGGCAAACTCAGTGAGCACCAAAGCCCCACTGAAGCAAGTCTTGCCCCAGAAGGGTGTTTCCAGCACAGAAGTTCTCCCACTGCAGACACAGCTGATTCTCACAGCCAATTGGTCTGGAGGTCAATTCCTCCCAGTGATACCTACAACAATCAAGGCTTAACTACAACAAGACTGTGCACAAAGCCCACAAAGGGGTACACCAAGAGTGTACACCTCAGGTAATTGGGGAGGCTAAGCCACTGGGCCCTATAGGACACCTAGTACAGAAAGCCACTCTATCAACACAGGGAAGCAGCCAAAATGCAAAGACAAAGAAACAGGTCACAAATGACAGAAATGGAGGAAAGCAAACTACTGGATATAGAGTTCAAAACCACACTTTTAAGGTTTTTCAAGAATTTTCTAAAAACCGCCGATAAATTTAGTGAAACCCTCAATAAATCTAGTGAGACCGTCGAGGTTATGAAAAAGAACCAACTAGAAACTAAGCATACACTGACTGAAATAAAGAATATTATACAGAGTTCCAACAGCAGACTAGAGGATTGCAAGAATCAAGTCAAAGATTTGAAATACAAAGAAGCAAAAAACACCCAACCGGAAAAACAAAAAGAAAAAAGAATCCAAAAATATGAAGATGGTGTAAGGAGCCTCTGGGACAACTTCAAGCGTACCAACATCCGAATTATGGGGGTGCCAGAAGAAGAGAGAGAGAGAAAGATATTGAAAACCTATTTGAAGAAATAATGACAGAAAACTTCCCCTACCTCGTGAAAGAAATAGACTTACAAGTCCAGGAAGCGCAGAGAACCCCAAACAAAAGGAATCCAAAGAGGACCACACCAAGACACATCATAATTAAAATGCCAAGAGCAAAAGACAAAGAGAGAATCTTAAAAGCAGTAAGAGAAACACAGTCAGTTACCTACAAGGGCAGGGGTGGGCAAACTTTTTGACTCGAGGGCCACAATGGGTTCTTAAACTGGACCGGAGGGCCGGAACAAAAGCATGAATGGAGTGTTTGTGTGAACTAATATAAATTCAAAGTAAACATCATTACATAAAAGGGTACGGTCTTTTTTTTTTTTAGTTTTATTCATTTCAAACGGGCCGGATCTGGCCTGCGGGCCGTAGTTTGCCCACGGCTGTACAAGGGAGTACCCATACGAATGTCAGCTAATTTCTCAACAGAAACTTTGCAGGCCAGAAGGGAGTGGCAAGAAATATTCAAAGTGATGAATATCAAGAACCTACAACCAAGATTACTTTACCCAGCAAAGCTATCATTCAGAATTGAAGGTCGGATAAAGAGCTTCACAGATAAGAAAAAGCTAAAGGAGTTCATCACCACCAAACCAGTATTATATGAAATGCTGAAAGGTATCCTTTAAGAAGAAGAGGAAGAAGAAGAAAAAGGTAAAGATACAAATTATGAACAACAAATACACATCTATCAACAAGTGAATCTAAAAATCAAGTGAATAAATAATCTGATGAACAGAATCAACTGGTGAATATAATAGAATCAGGGGCATAGAAAGGGAGTGGACTGACTATTCTCGGGGGGGAAAGGGGTGTGGGAGGTGTGGGAAGAGACTGGACAAAAATTGTACACCTATGGATAAGGACAGTGGGCGGGGGCGGGGGAGGTAAGGGCAGAGGGTGGGGTGGGAACCAGGTGGAGGGGAGCTATGGGGGGAAAAAAGAGGAACAACTGTAATAATCTGAATAAAGATTTAATTTTAAAAAATAAATAAATAAAAAGGACAAAAGGAAAACAATTAAAAAAGAGAGAATTAAACAAGATATGTGATGCACTTTGTAAATACAAGACATAAATATTAATTGGTGAGTCAAATTATGATTTCAGTAAAGCAGTAATAAAGTTTTTGTTGTGGGAGGAGGAGATACAGAGAAAAGTCCAGTTTTCAGTGGAAATACTGAGTTGGGAAAAACACTGCAATCCATGAAAGACGTCTCTCCGGGCACAACATACTTATAACATAGAACATTCCAAAAGGAAGGTTATAAAGATTCCTTTTACTATAAATCTGCCACTATAGTTTTGGTATCTGGCTACAGGGATATCTTTTAAGAAATATAACAGCCCTAGCCAATTTGGCTCAGTGGATAGAGCGTTGGCCTG